AATAATTCATATATACCCAAGCACCTTGAGAAGGTATCAGTAGAGTGGATACAATAGATCTGCTCACTGTGTAGTACTGTTTGGAGAAACTACAATGCACAAAGGTAAAGAATGAACATTTACAACAAAAATGTCCAGAGTTCAGTTTTAAAGTGCACCTATAGCCAAAACTTTGTTTGGATAGGATAGGGAAGGTTTAAATTTCCTGTCAGGTAATTTTTTTTACGTCTCTGCTGTGTTGGGGAGATTTCACTTCCTGTCCCAGAGAGGCAATAGAAAGCATTAGGAAATCTCTGCAAACCCAGGGGAAATACCTTCTTAGACAGCTGCCACAAGAATAGGTGTCCCTAATGTACACTCATTAGGGACAGCTGTAATTTTTACAAAGTATTATTGGCTACCTGGCTCCTGAGATTTGTCCAACCTTAGGGTGAGGTCAGGGTGAAGTACTGATGTTGGAAAAGAAGGTTTAACTCACAACAGGCATTTCAGCATTCATTCCAAAGGGATGTGGGGATGAGATCAGAGCTCTGTGCAAACCACTCAATTTCCCCCACACCAAACCTGTCAAACCATGTATGTTTTTAATTGGTTTTGTGAACCTCAACTCAATAATTAGGAGGGGTGCCAACTGTTTTATGGTCTTCTAGGTTATTTTAAGGATTTTCTTTAGGTAAATGTGTAAGATGGGATGATTTCTTCCAAACCTTGAGCTAGTCATTAAAAATGCCAGAACCCACCCACAGCATTTCCCGGCTGAAGGTCACAGCACTGCAATTATGACATTCTCTTTCTTCATTCTTCTACATAATTGGGCAATGCTTATTATTTGAAATGTACCTAATATTGGGCCATTTGTGGTAACCCTACCTCAATAATTACAATAACAGAAATACAAACCTAAAATGATATGTTTTCACCTAGGTAACAATGAGACTACAAAAATATGGCTAACTTGAGCCTGTAACCTACTCAGACCAAGCCAAGTAACACCTCTACTGTACAGCAGGTAACCTATGGTGTCTGCTCCTACCATCAAAGTGCCAAGCACCCACTTCCCAACCCCACACACACATTTCCAATACACCCCTAAAGACTCTCTGAATGCTTTCTCAATGTGAGAATTTACATAGAACTTGGTATAGATTTCTACTGCCAACTACACTGTCAAAGGCAGGGGAAAGTGGGATTCTGCATGTTTACCCATATTCAAAAATGTGGGTTTTGCAAGGAGGGGAGCCCAGTGGCCTTTTGGAGTGGCCAGCAGGGATGGTGCCTGTTGTAAAGCATCTTTGTTACTTGGCTTACTATATACAATTAAGTGCATGCTGCATTTATTTTCTCCACTCAGCATTAAGTAAAATTTGAACTAAGGTTTCATGACCGCCTCATTTTATATACGCACATGCCAAACTCACAAATGCTTTGTGGTATCTAAAGCATTCATGAACAGGAAACAAAGCTTCATCTAGATAATACATATATAATGAATGATAAATTATGTTTCCGTAGAGAACAACACAACAAGCCCTGTGTCTGTTACTGAGACCCCGACTATTAGGATCATGGGCCTAGTCAGGGTTCCTCTGCTAGCCCTGCTGCCAGATTGGCAAGTCTCGGTATGAGACCCATTAAAATCTATGGGGACACAGGCGTAGCTATCTCTAAACAAATTTTGTTGAAAGGGATGTAAACACTAGAGAAGGCCACAGCACTGAAATAAAGGTAGGTAAGCAATTGTAGAGGGGTAATTAATGCAGAGTAGCTTAGGGGGAGGTGGGGGTGTAGGTTGGTAAAGATAAAGATAGAGCTGTCATTTAAATTATTTATCACAATCAATGTATTGCTATCTCAGTCAATATGTTAAAGGCTGGAAATTGAGTAAATGGATATCTATCTGGCTGTAAAACTAATAGCACATTATTTTATTTTATTTTTTTAATACAGTAGCTGTCAGGTTCCATGGTTCTGAATAGGTACTGGAAGTAAAAATGTGCATCCCAGTAGGTCCAGACAGAGAAGACTCCCTTCGACCACCTCCAGACTCAGAACGATAAACGGGTAGATCCCAAGAACGGTTATATCTGAGAGCATCTATGGGCCAAAGTCAGCTCTTGAGGGGATGCTCAGCCTCAGTCAGTGATGTTTAAATAAAACAGGAAAACCTACTGCAGCATCGAACGGCAATGACGGACAACACACAAATATATTTCCTCTATCGGGCTTAGCTACTTAGCTATCTATGTTCATATGTTTTATATATGTAAGAGCAGCTTACCATTCCAATTTTTTTATGGGGTGGGGGTTGGGCTGAGGCCTCCAAGACAGTACAGCGCATAATAAAAGCCATATACAAGGGTTGTGATCGATTCTCTAGGATGGATCAAACATTTAAATGATTAATTATTTCTTCCAACTTAAAAATCTGCTATGTACTGTATGACCCCACTGACCACTTGGTCTCTTTACCTGTCCACCTGTATGCAACAGTAACAATTTGCCTAAACATGGTCAAATGTCATGATGGTGTTGGAATTGTTTTTATTGTGGTCCCAGCACCATTATTGAGTTTGAATCATCAGCCCAACAGCAAACTCTCTTTGGAAATGTAAAATGTTGGTAACTAGGTATTACTATAACAGGCCTACGATCCTTTAATGGCTCCAAGCTCTCATTGTCATGATTACCAATGACTACACCATATACCTAATTTTGATACAAGTAAGTTTACTTTTATCATGAATACATATCTTCCATACTTCATTTTTAGTCAGCCGTTTGCTTTAGTTGGAAATTAAGGATATTTCTTCTTTTTCAAGATGGTTCCTCCTTCCCACCTCTTATCTTGAAACCATATACAATAGCACAGGCATAACCAGGCATAGCTAGATCGTATCACTCTATACCATTCAGCCTGCTACAATTCTGTTAAAGTCTCCAAAATGTAATTGCATGTCTTGTCAGGATTTTCTTTAAAAAATTTCACCCAGGGATTGGTGAAAGTCAGCAGCATTTGGCTCGCCGTCTATAAACAATGTCAATACTACAAGGTCATTATACAAATGGTCTTCCATATACCAGCTCAATAAAAGCCACACAGCACAGCCCTATTTGAGACCTCATATCATGCTAAAGGATGCTGACAGGAACTACTGTATAATTAATGACCATTTCAAAGGAAGTGACCATGTTATGATGATTCAGGTGAATTGGATAATGTAGACAACTGCAGCAAAAAAAAAAAAAAATCCTTTACTACAGCCAACACAAATCTTTCCTTTGTCCTGCGAGATAATGAAAAGATCCCATATAAAGACACACAAACTAAAGTGCCCTTTGATGTTGCAAAACAAAGCAGCAGGGCCCTTGGTCTACAGTGAGACCCAAGATATCAAGCAACACATCAGTGATTTGAGGGAGGAACGCTGCAATCACTTAATCCTAAAATAAACATAGTACCGTGCATGTTGGAATAAAAACCAAAGCCAAACATAATTTCAACAGCACAAAAGCTTTGTAAATTCAAAGACAGAAAAGTATTTGATTACGAATATTATTCAGTAGACAGATTCTGTCTCCTGGGAGCTCTCTACATGGCAGGCCCACTCCGAGGCTGTGATCTCGGTGGCACATTTATGCAAGGAGGGTATAACTGGTGGGACCTGATGTCTATATTCAGATTGCACGCTAGCCCATACATTTTGGAAAATGCGCAAAGGAGATCAATGGTGTCACGTTAGTTACAATACACAGTGCCATCTAATGGTATAAAAACATGTTGACACTCCAGGCATTAACAAGGCATGTTAATGGACCGCATCCTGATGAGCCCTTTGAATTTTCCTTTGCAAAGGTGTTCCAGCTGGGCACTGAAGCTTATAATTTTACCTGCATTTCCTAAACATATCATCATCAACAATCTGCTTCACATCAGCAAAAATCCGGTATCATTGTTTTCCTTTGTTTTTTAACACAAATTTTGTTTATATTTTATATTTTATTTTTTTAGATGCTGCAATAATTTTAGCACCAAATCACAGGGTGTGAATAATATATACAGCTTACATACACCTGTTTTTATTTGATTCAGTTCTCTTTACAAAGGTGCATTCTTTTTTTGTAAACTTTCCGCCAATTGTATTTATGCTTTTGTAATCCATTTGTAAATAGATCAAAGATAAGCACAAATCACTAAAAGAACAAAATGAAGCTGCATATGAGTTCTATTTTCTTAAATAAAGGCCTTACTGACCTATCATTAACCCTTTTTTTATTATTCAAATGCTATTGCACATTTAAAATAAATGACAATTAGATCAAGTTCTATCATATTTAAATGTCCCCCAAAATTTAATTTAAAAATGTGATCTAATATAAGCCATTCAGGCAGAGCAGATGACTCTTTAGAGTCTACCTGCCTTTGGTATTTGCAGTATTGCAAGGTACTGGGTGTCATCAGTACATTCCAGCAGCTAATACTGGATCAAGTACTAGGAAATGAGGAATCTTGAAATCCTACAAGGTGAGCTCCAGTGATCATCCATAGCAGATTTAGCTGTGCTGATCCCTACATTATGTCCCCAGCCTTATCCTGGGGCTTCTCCAGCCAACATCTCCCAGCTATGTGCGCAAAAACATATGACCTCCACATATGCAAAAACTTCCTAAGAGGTTCCAAATCAAAGTGAATCTCCAGCTTCCTTCCACCCTTCTAGCAGATGCCTCCGCAGCACCCATCAATTAAATTTGCCACCTTAGGCCGGTCAGTCAAGGTAGAGTGAAAAAACAGCAATGCCAGGCAAAAAAAAAAATGACTGTGTCAGCTAGTGATCAGACAGATGGCAAAAAAATCCTATTCATGCAATGTTGCAAATTGTGCCTTGTCACATCTACGGCAAGTGCTATGTGCTGCACCCAATGCGGAGAATGCTGCAATGTGCAATCGTTATTAATAAATCAGCTAGGCTTACCAGGGAGGCTAGAGAATGCTGCAGGCTTACCTGATGTAGGAGAAAGTCTGCAAACCATGTCAGCAGAGGGAACCTGCACCAAGAATAAGCAGAATGGAATGGAGCTCCTTGTACAAGATGCTGAGATCCCTAAGCCACAAAAGCTGACAAAGCATTTGCCCTTAATCCATTATGACTGAAAAAGACCGTGAAGCTCCTTCACAACCCCTCTTCTTTTCTTCCCCTTGCTTCCTGCTCTGAGCATCACTCTACAGTGGCTAATATATACTAGGAAAAGGCTTACAGAGGCATGCAGAGGCTGCAGAGCAAATGTGGACACCATCGCCACCTGCTGGACAAACGCCTAAGTGCAGCATGCAGTTATCACAATACTGATACAATGTTCTTTTTTTTTTCCCTGCAAAGCCTTTGCCGCATGACTGACAAGATCGTGATTTTGAATACTTTAAAAGAAAAGCATGGTAGATGCATTCATTTGTAACAGAACATTTAATGTGGGGAATGGGGTGGTGGTGGGGAGAGGGGGGTGCCCAAACAACAGATGGATACTATTTGAAGATCTGTCTTATCTACTGATTTAAAGAGACTGCTTCCATTTCCGCCAAGAATGCATTTGTGATGCAGTCAAGCATGGTACCTTGTTCGATTTGCATTTGCGACGAATAATCATTACACAGAGGAATCGCAGGGTTAAAATATTGCACAGTAACTGACACACTGCTATACTGTTTATAAACAATGCATTGTGCCAGGGAGAATTCAAGAGGGATGGCACATATGAGGGTGTGGGCATTTGGTTTTTGAATGGATGATGTCACGAAAGGGCTGTGTTCTTTCCGGAAGGCTTTTTGTTTAGCATTAGGCAACACAGGCAAATGCTTTTAGGAAGCTCAAACACATAATAGCCAACCGTCTCTGGTTTCCCAAGACCTTGTAAGGGTTAAATGATGCGACCCGGGGATATCCCTGGTTTTCAGAATTGATCAAGACCGCCATAAAATTTTTCTGTGTTTTGGTTTGAAAACGTATATCTAAAAATTTGTAAACATTTTATAATTTCATACTGAGTTATGATCCTCTGAGGTGATATTATGCATACAATTTGCAATAAAACTGTGTCAGGAAATTAAATATCAGCTAATAATAATTACAATGCTTTACTGCTAGATGTCTGAAAACCAGAGACAGATATTTGGGTCTTGGCCTAAAAGTGCAAACCCAACATTCCCTATTATCAACTGCCACCTATTCCTAACACTTAAGATTTTATTTATAAACAATTCACAGAGCTATTCGCCCTGCAAATCTCTGTGAACGTAAATTTGTTTTTCAGGTTGAATGTACTGCAATGTAATACCACACATTATGGCCCCTAGATGGACCAGAGGGACATAGAGAATATATAATTATTTCCTGTGCTCCTCAGTTCCATCTAGTGGCCATAATGTGGTATTTTCTGAATGTTACATTCATCCTGAAAAGAAAATATACAAAGAACATTTGTTTTTGCCTTCATTTGCATAGAATCTCCGCAGAGATTTGTAAGGATGAACGGCTCTTTGAATTGTTTATAAATACACCCCTTATCGTCACATAATGCTGGACACACTTGCGGCAATGTTTGTTCAGATCAACTTTCCATTTCATGTTTGGTTGAATCGGAAAATAGATCAACCAGTGTGGCTTTCTTTTTTGATGGGTATTAAAACAGTCAGATGAAACAAGCCATAATGGAGTTAGAGGAAACTCTTAACCCTTTCAATCAGATGTCACTTGCTGTCTTCATGTTTGAGTATTTTTAAATTTAATTTCTGTTTAATTTGATTGTCTTTTTCACCATTTCCAATCTGCTTTATTTATATATTTATTTTTTGCACAGTCAGTTAAAATGTGGTTTTGTTCAAGCACTTGCAGTCGTGTTTTTAATGGAGGGTTGATCACAGAATATTTGAATGTGAAAATGCTTGTTGGATGTGTGGTCAGCATAACACATAGGCTACACTGACAGTGTTTAATAGCACTAGTGGCTAATCATTACTGGCTAATAATAGGGGTTGACTGTGAAACACATGAGTATGTGTATACTTATACATACTCATACATGTATGAGTATGTATAAGTGCAGGCACACTTATAATTTGAATCCTGGCACCTAATGAGCTTTATAGGCTGCAACAGCTAGACCTCCTGTGCTGAGTAATTGTCGGCTAACCTGCATTCCTGAGATCCTGCATTATGATTTTCCTATCATCTGTCACTGACCTGATTGTCTTGACCTTCTGCTGCTATTCTGTGTTCCCGTGACCTCGGCCTTTCCCTCGAACTCCGTTTCTGCCTCTTGCCCTGTACTACATTGTCTGTAAGTTATCGGCCCGCCTTGTTCCTGACTTCATCCTTGTCCGTGGCCTGATACTGCTCTGACTGCCTGTTCACGACTTGACTTGTATTGACCACAGCTCTTCTGGAACTCTGTTCCCTTGTGTTCTTCTTCGCCGCCTGCTTCCTGCCAAGAGACACGGAGGGTCGGATTACCCACAAGGCCAACCGAGGCCCGGCCTCGGGGCAGCAGGGAATAGAGGGGCAGCAGGGGTGTGGAGTTCCTATCTCCCGACGACCGGGACATGCAGTTCCGGGCGCCAGACGGGTAGTTGTTTTCTACATTAAGCCCTGTTTTGGGCAAGCAGAGCTAAATGTAGAGCAGGGAAGCCACCACTTGTTTTGTACAAGCGATCTCGGCCATGTCGCCGAGATCACTTGTATGCAGCCTGCATACAGGTATGCGCATTGAGGAACCTGGCATTGGGGCAGCAGAGAGAGTAATCCCGTCCCTGGAGACACGTCCGCATGACAGAGACAGAACCATCCAAATACAGTGATATCTTCCGCCACTCATGTCGATCCGTGTCACTGAACACCTGTTCTGCCATCCAGGAACCCTGGGACCGAAACTGCAAGGAAGGCTGCCTTCATCAATTCAGACTCCACCAACAGACAGGATCTGTCTGTTGTGTGGACATGAGGGTGTAGCTAAGTGTTCCTAGTGTTCTCAAACTAAGTAAGTGCTATGTGCAAAAAATATCTAAATGTTCAACTGGACCACTCCTGAGGAAGTCATAGTTCAAGCAGAGTAGTTGAGTCAGAGCAGTCTGTGACATCATCATGTCCCTCTGGAAATACTGGTAAACCCATTTCTGATCCACGGAGGTAGCGGTGTTTGATAAGGGAACTGTCACACAGTGCTGTGTATCACATGGAACTGTGTGTTCTCTTTATATTACTTATTTTTAAAGTTTTAAAAGGTTTTATGCTATGTGCATCTCTTCTCCCTTATTTTTGCTGAGTTGACAAAGATAAGGAGAAGCTCCCCATTGGAGGAGAAGAGAGGAATAAGAAGAGTGGATTCAGCAAAAACGCAACGTTTTGACCAACTTATGGATAAGTGTTCAAAATCCTCTGTTAAGTGTTTATCCCTTTGTGTGTGCGTGTGCTGAATAATTCATGAAATTGGAGGAAAACATGAAATTGTTTAAGCACATCTTGCACTGGGCACTTTAATTCCAAGGACAGCATTTTGGAAGATGGTGGGTTTTTCCAGGGAGGACTTTGTTTATTTTTGTTTATATCATGCGCAGTTTGATATTGTACTTGTATATATGATTGCAGCAACTTATGATTGTTACACTTTCAATGTATTATTTGTGTTAATTGTTTTTTGATGGTTTCAATAATTTGCACATAGTAAGCACGTATTTAGTTTGAGAAAACTAGGGGTGCTGGCCTACACACTCACAGCTTTTAGTCATTATCATCACTGATTTTAAATAGGTTGTAAAGTCCCAGCATGGACTGTCATGTTATAACATCAGCATTGTAATAGGAATACATAGCAGAGTTGTTTGCTGCAATTAAAGCTTACTTTAAAAAAGTCTCTATTATGTAGTGATTGCTGCCTTCCGTCTGCCCATCACTTTCATCAACTTCCTGGATTCCCAGTGTATTGCTTCCAGTAAGCAGTGATAATGTTGTAGTTATAGAGTTATGACACAAGGAAGTCCATACTCACAGGGCTCGGTAATATTGTGTCAGTGCATTGAGGAAGTACATCCTATGGGCATCTTCAATATGCAAGTTTATAAGCTTCTAGATCAATATGGTTATTAGGAATGCTATAGAAGGTATGGAGAAATTCAATAGAGAAATACATGTTTATTTTTTGTTTTTGATTATAGATAACCTATAAAAGAGAACTATGGTCCAACTGTTTTTGGCCATAGTTTTCTTCAGGATCACAGGAGGACATATACTAATGTCCACCTGTGACCCAAAACTCAGCATATAGTGGGCTACTGCTCACTATATGCTGACAGTGTAGAACTGCGCTGCAGCCGCGATGGATCTTGGCTCTCTAGAGGCAGAGCCAGCTGTGCCCGCCCTCTCCACCGTCCATGCCTCCAGTCTGCGCTGGAGGATTGGAGAGTGGGGGAATCCCTGTGGGGAGTGATGACTGACAGTCACCGCTCTCTGCAGGGAGATGATCGGGAACTGAGCGGTCCGCAGTATGTGATTGCTCAGTTCTTGATCAATAGAGCCAACGTGTGACAGTTTCAGTGTCAGACATTGGCTCTAGTTATGGGAAAGAGTGTATTTCACTCTCCCCATAATTCTCCTTTAAGCACAGCAGCTTAGATCAACACATTTAGGTTAAGAAAGATAGGGAAAGGTGGAGGTTGACTTATTTAAAAGAGTTGTCTGAGTCATATAGCATATGAACAGTTTTTCCCAGTTTTGTGATTTTTTTATGCTTGTTCTGCAATGGTATTCAGAGATTTTTGCCCATAACATAAACATACAGTAAGTCATTTCCAGCATGCGATGACACACTTATGAATTTACTTTTTTCCTGTCATTTTTAAACAATTAATATTCAAACAGTCTTAAAAAATGCTAAATGAGTTTCTTTATGATTAGACGTGCATCGGCAAAAAATTTGTTTAGTTCCAGATTTTTAGTTTAAGAATTAGTTTAATTTGTCTGGATTGTGGTGCAAAAGTAAATTTGTTTCGTTATTTGGATTCGTCCGAATCTAAAGTTTTCATTAATTTCGGATGCGTTTAGATAAATTATGAACAAAGTTTCGTTGCAGCAAAGTGACATTAGCAAAAGAAAAAATTACATTTTTGTTTTTAACTTTTGACAGTCCACAGAAACAATAATAATTTAAAAAAATGCAAGGAAT